AACTCAAGGAGGATATAGGGAAGGACATGGTGGAGTGGGAGCAACTGTTATGGGCATGGTGGCTCACACCTGTAATCCCAGCACTCTGGGAGGCAGGGATGGATGGATCACTTGATGGTCAGGAGTTCGAGACCAGCCTGGCCAACATGATGAAAACCGTCTCCACTAAAAGCGCAAAAATTAGCCAGGTGTGGTGACACGTGGCTGTAATCCCAGCTACTCAGGAGGCTGAGATGGGAGGATTGCTTGAACCTGGGAGGCGGAGGTTGCAGTGAGCCAGGATTACACCACTGCACTCCAGCCTGGGCGACAGAGTAAGACTCTGTTTCAAGATGAAAATAAAAATAAACTTGTGGGTGAGAAAGCTTCCATGAGAAGCAAAGAACCTCCTTCAGGAGGTGAGGGGCCAGTTGTGAAGTTGTGAGCACATCCTGAGCTACAGAGTTCCAAGCAGGGGAAAATGAGTAAGTGTCAAACCCCCAGAGGCAAGAACCAGCCTGGCTGAGTCATGGGAAGGTCAGTGAGCCCAGTGATCTCAGCCCAAGGGGGCAGGGGCTTAGCACCCAGAGAGGAGACCAGCAGGGGGTAAGATGGTTTCACTTTGCATACATGGAAAACCAAAGGGGCTTGAGCCGAACAGCATGATCTGAATATGTCGTAACAGGATTGTCCTGCCTGCTAGTGTTTTTTCCATCAGCACATCAGCAATAAGTTGCTTGATGGTAGAAAGGGCTGTGTATCCGATATATATATATACATATATATGATAGGTGCATTTGATAGGCTCTCCAGTTACGCAAAATATACAGGTAACCTGAATATGTTCATTCACTGATTCAGCAAATATGTATTACCTACTATGCGTGAAGCAGGGATCTTAGCCTCTCAGTTTATGTATATAATAAACCTCATTACTTTAGCAAAACAAGGGCAATATAATAAAATGAAACAAAAACAATTAAAGTGGGCCAGAAATCGCAAAATGCTTTGAATTTCTCACAAATAGATACGAGATTTCATGGTATATATGAGGTGCAAATATTAATGTAACTAAACTTGACCAATAGCATTAATCAATTGCATTTATTCTGATAGCAACATATCAAAGTATGAAAAATACACACATAAAAAATGCTTTTCCTCGTTTTCTGCCAAATTCCCACAATTCCTTCCTAACCCACTTGAAATATTACTTTTGTGACAACTTCATAGTCTCCTGATTCCCTACCCCCATGGCCCCCACGCCTCCCACAGAAGAGAACTTGCTTTCTCTTCTGTGTTTCTATAGAACTTTCCATAAACCAATATCACAGAATGGTTTCCTAATTTTTTATCTCTGCTGGAATAAGTGCTTATTGACTTTATATCCTCAGCTTCAAGCACAGGGCAGAAAATATTTTGCCAGTGGGAACACACTCTCTCCTCCAATCACAACTTTCTTTCCCACTGAACCTAGGTGTGAATTCAGTCAGAACGCTTTTCAACACAGTGAAATCAGCAGCTGGAGCTGGCAAGCTAAATGTAGTCTAATTGCCAATGAGACTTACCTTAGTGCCTTGGAGCGAGGTAGGTGGTGCACCTCCAAGTTTCGTTGATTAAATAAGCAAAATGAAAAACTATTGTTGGGTTTCTGGAAATAATAATAGGAAATTAATAAAGTAATGCAAATCCCCACACTATAAAAACTAGGGCAGGTATATAAGCAACCAACTGGCAAATTCAGACGTGAAAACAATAGCTCAGGAAATTTACCCAAACTCACTTCAACCACAATGATGTAATTGCAGTTAGATCAGACGTGTTGCTGAAACCAATTAGGCTGATCAACTGTGGTGAGTCACTGATCAAATGATAGCCATTATGTCAATATATGTTGGCAAGAAGTAGCTGTGCTATAATTCTGGCATGCGTGATCTCGCTACGATCATTCAGTTCACAAAAAAAAGTATAAGTAAAAGCATTAACACAGTACTGAAAGGTGCCCTCAACATTTTAAAACAAATTGGCAACAGCATGTTCTTGGGAAGAGCCCCAAGAACACATCAACTCAATGCTAACCCAAAGGCTAAATATTTTTTAATTTATAAAGTAATAAAGCAGCTAAAAATGCATTGGTATCATTCTCACACTTAGTAAGAATACTAATAAAACGTAACTTTTAAAAGCCTGTAAAAGCTCCAAGAGAGGAGTTTTGGGTGTTTTGTTTTGTTTTGTTTTGTTTGTTTGTTTTGTTTTTGAGACGGAGTCTCGCTCTGTCACCAGGCTGGAGTGCAGTGGTGCAATCTTGGCAAACTGCAACCTCCACCTCCCGGGTTCAAACAATTCTCCTGCCTCAGCCTCCTGAGTAGTTGGGACTATAGGCACGCGCCACCACGCTAGGCTAATTTTTGTATTTTTAACACAGACGGGATTTCACCATGTTGGCCAGGATGGTCTCGATCTCTTGACCTTGTGATCCACCCACCTCGGCCTCCCAAAGTGCTAGGATTACAGGTGTGAGCCACCATGCCAGGCTGGCATTGTTTTTAAAAAGAAAAAAGAAAAAAAAAAGTAACAGAAGCCTAACCTGTTGCTGTTCAGGTCTCCACAGACTGCTCAGTCAATAGGGAGCAACATGTTGCAATGAGTTAGCTCCAAATTCATCTTCCAGAGCACTTAACTTGTGCTGCACATTTGAAGCATCTGGAAAGTTTTGAAAAAAATACTCATGCTCAGGGCCTACCTGAAAAGTCAATTTCACTTACTGAAAGAGGACCTGGACATCGATATTTTAAATACCTCCCCAAATGTGACAGCCGCAGATCTAACCTTTACAACTGTACTTCCGTATCTGTCAGAGACAGGACCTGACAGAGGATATGTGGACAAGAGCGTCAAGAGCAGATTTTAATCACCTTGGAACTGCACTGTCCAGCAAAGTCGCTGCTTTGGCAGCTGAGCCCTTGAAATGCAGCTAGTGCTCTTGACAACAGAAGTTTTATTTTATTGTAATAAATTTAAATTGATAAACAGATACTCAATTTAATTATCAGAAAACCAGTTGGGCGCAGTGGCTCACGCTTGTAATGCCAGCACTGGGAGGCCAAAGCAGATGGATCATTTGAGATCAGCAGTTTGAGACCAGCCTGGCCAACATGGTGAAACCCTGTCTCTACTAAAAGTACAAAAATTAGCTGGGCATGGTGGCACAAGACTGTAATCCCAGCTACCTGGGGGCTGAGACAGGAGAATTGCTTGAACCTGGGAGGCAAAGCTCACAATTAGCAGAGATCGTGTCACCGCACTGCAGCCTGGGCAACAGAGCAAGAGTCCATCAGAAAATAAAAATAAAAGAAAGAAGGAGAGAGGGAGAAAAGTAGGGAAAGAAAGTGGAAGGAAAGAAGAAAGGAAGAAAGGAAATATTTAAATATATTTGGAACAACTTGGGTATATAAATCTACTTTTCAACCGTAAATTTTGTGAACCGTACATACAGATCAAGTATTTCTGGTAAAAATTCCATGTCTGAATTGAGACATTCTGTAAGTGTAAATTACAGACTCAAAGACTTTCTACCAAAAGGAAATATAAATATCTCCTTGATAATTTTTATATTGATTCTATGTTGAAAGGATATTTTTGATATAACGAGTTAAATGAAATTATATTATCAAAATTCATTTCACCTATTTCAATTACTTTCTAAATGTAGCTACTAGGAAATGTTTAACTACATACACGTCTGGCATTATATTTCTATTGGTCAGTGCTCTCTAAGAGATCTGGGTATCGAAAGAGCACTGAAGTAAACTGTTTGGAAAAGCAAATAGCTCCTAATTCCAATTTTGCATTCATCAGGAATTTTCTTGAGTCAGTGAGTACTTACCTGAGTTAGATCATGTGCTAGCATTAAACTAGATGTTTCATAGCAGAAATGGTCAGAGGATACTATTCCCACCTGCAAAAATCAAACTTTAGTAGAAGCCACAACTGAGATACCATGTGCTTTCAAAGTCATTCGTTCATTCTTTCTTTCTTTTTTTCAATACAGTGTCTCCCTCTGTCGCTTAGGCTGGAGTGCAGTGGCATGATCATCATTCAATTCAGCCTCAACCTCCCAGACTCAAGTAGTCCTCCCACCTCAGTCTCCTGAGTAGCTGGGACTATAATCATGTGCCACCGTGCCTGGCTAATTTTAAAATTTTTTATTTTATTTTTGTAGAGACAGGGTCTCACCATGTTGCCAAGGCTGGTTTTGAACTCTTGGGTACAATTACAGACACTGTCCGACCTCAGATTCATTCTTTCATTCCAGGTTCCCAACAGATCTGTAAGCAATGATCATTATACCCATTACACAGTGAGGAAGCAGGCTCACAGTAACCTGCCCAGAGCACACCACTGGTATGTTGCCACCAGGACTCGGACCCAGGTCTCCCAAACCCAAATTTTCAGCTCTTTCTGCTTCATCACACAACCTTTCTGAAATAAGTTCTATTCATTAGAAATTCATTGTCCGTGACTTTTTCCCTAAGTACAAGCCTATTCTTTGAACAAACGGTAACTCTGCCCAAGAGTGTCAGAAAACTCAGCAAACAGCTCCCCTCTCCAACACTGAAAGCAACTCAGCCAAGAGCCGAGGCAGCGTCTGGTCCCTTGGGAAGTGTGTGTGATGTGGGGTGGGCCTCCTTTCTCTCTGTTTGCCTAGGACTCACATAAAGCATAGCCTCTGAGAAATGCTTGGGAGAGCTGTCTTTCTAGACTGCTGGGACCAGATAGCATCATCATCTGATTCCTGGACTCAAATAAAAATAAGCGCAGAGAACAGCAATCTGAACATCTCTAATAAAGCTATTTCAAAACAGAAAATTGAAGGTGATGGGATGTTGTAAGCCGCCCATCCGCAGATCTCTACTGAGCATGCATGGGGAACCCAGCTCTGGATTAAGCCCTCGGGAGCCTTTATTAATTAATTATTATTAATCCCATTTTCTGTGATGGGATCAAGAGGAGCCCAAACCTCAGCACCGCCCGATATTCCCTGCTAACATACCTGCACGTGTGCCCCCTGAATCTATAATAAAAACGGAATTGTTTTCAAAGACCCATTCTCCAAACCCGAAGGACTTTTTCGGAAATAGTCTGTGAACAGATTTCAAAAGCAAACTGAGGTTGAGGTAAACTGCAGCCTTGGGGTGTCACTTTCAGTACAGACTATGGGAATTCAGGTCCTAGAGGCACTCAGGATGCTTTAGGGCTTGGGCAGCTTGGGTGTCTGCTCTGGCCTCTGAGTTCAAGTGTGAAGCCCCAGGAGCAGCGGGGAGATTTGGAAAATGGCGAGCAGCAGTCTGCAGCACAGCGGGCAGAGAAAGAAAGGTCTGCACTGCTCTGCCAGGCCCTCTCCTGCTTCTTCTAGCCTTGGGGCAGGCTCACCCAAAGCCAGACCGGAGCTATGGGGAGGAGTGCATGCTCCATGCATGTCCTGTGCATGGCAGGGTGTGTGAGCTCCTTTTGCAGGTCATGGAGAAACTAGGGATCTCCTGGTATCTCTTTACGTAAAGGTGATGACTGTCTTTGTAGCATAAGCTAAGATACCTCTTCTAACATATTGAGCCCAGAGGAGTTACACACGATGTGTGTGTGCAAGTGAGAAGCCATGTACCTTATTTGTGAGTGTGTGTGTGTGTGTGTGTGTGTGTGTGTGTGTCCTTGTTGATCTCCAGGGCATTAGTTTTATATAAGGAAACCCTGGGAGTAAAAATATGTTTCTTTGTGGGAAAGGGGCATGGTTATCAATTACACACCAAGCACTACTTAACCAAGCACTGTGGTAGGAAGATCATTTAAGTGAAGGCACCTGGTAAGAGAAGATCCCTCAACAAGTATCAGGGATTGTATTATGCCAATGTGTTCTGATGATCAGGTAAAAAGGGTAGTAAATTATGGAAAAGAGAGATGTAAGTGTGGGGAAAGCATTCAGAAGCTACGATTTGAAAGAGACATTTTAGGCAAAAAACTGGGAGCGTCTGTAACAAAAACGGCCCTTTCCAGCAGCAGAGAGGGTTGGGAGTTCTTTCCCTAAAGACAAACCACCTGGCTCCCTGCAGCTGTGTGTTGCAACTTCACACCTACGGAATTGCTCTGATGCCTCTGACTTTAAGCACAGAGACAAAGCTCGAGCTGAGATCCTGAGAACCAAAGGCAAAACTGAAGAGAGGGTTGATACAGTTTAGCAGCAGAACATGCAAAAACCAGCAAATATACAAACCACACACCTTGGATTTAGCAGAAAATAACGTCAGCCAACGGGAAATAAGAAAGTGACTGTTAATTTCCGATGGCTGCTTAACAAATTACCACAGGTTTCATAGAAGAAAACAACCCCTTATTTATTCCCATTGGTCTGGAGGTCAGAAGTCTAAAGTCAAGGCATCAACAGAGCTGTATTCCTCCTGGAGGCTCTGGGGCACAATCTGTTCCCTTGCTTTTCCAGCTTGTAAGGGCCACCTGCATTCCTTGGCTTGTGACGCCTTGTTGTGCCAAGCCCCAGTTGACTCCAATGGGGAGAACGCTATGTTCAAAAGGCCAAAGAGACCTAGAGCCAGCAAATAAGACATGAGTTTTATTGGGAGCTTCTAAACTGGGAAGAGAGTCCAGTGGCACCAGGCTGGGCAGAAGAACCGCAACCAGTTATGAAAAGCTTGCCGTTTAGGACGCGGTGTCTCATGCCTGTAATCCCAGCACTTTGGGAGGCTGAAGTGAGCAGATCATGAGGTCAGAAGTTCAAGACCAGCTTGGCCAACATGGTGAAACAGTAGATACAAGGGTATCTACTAAAGATACAAAAAAAGATTTGCTGGGCATGGTGGCATGTGCCTGTAGTCCCAGCTACTCATGAGGCTGAGGCAGGAGAATCGCTTGAACCCGGGAGGTAGAGGTTGCTGTGAGCCAAGATTGTGTCATTGCACTCTAGCCTGGGTCACAGCATGAGACTCCATCTCAAAAACAAAACAAAAAAAAAAAAAAACAGGCAGTTTATATAGCATTTTCACTAAGCAGCCTCCCACTAACAATCTTCACCTGGCAACCTTTGTGTTACTCAAAATAAAGGGCCTCAATCCACTACCCAGTCTGCATTCCACGGGCCTGGCGGAGGTCTCAAGGTGTTCCTCATAGGTAAGGATTGGAGCTCCAGGCTGGCTGCTTCTGGATTCCTTAGCTCGGGACTCTGAACACACTTTCAGGTGCATCTGCCATAGAGAGTGCTTTAGTCCATTTTCACACTGCTGTAAAGATACTACCTGAGACTGGTAACTTATCAAGGAAAGAGGTTTAATTGACTCCCAGTTCCACATGGCTGGAGAGGCCTCAGGAAACTGACAGTCATGGTGGCAAGCAAAGGGGAAGCAAGGCACATCTATCATGATAGCAGGAGAGAGAGAGAGTGCAAAGGGGAAGGGCCACACTGCTCAACCATCAAATCACGTGAGAATTCACTATCACGAGAACAGCTTGGGGGAAACGCTCCATAATCCAATCACCTCCCACGAGGGACCTCCCTTGGCATGTAGAGATTATAATCCAAAATGAGATTTGGGTGGGGACCCAAAGGCAAACCATATCACAGGGTGATTGTTAGAGTATGCTCAAGTCAAGTTATCACTGTCAGGTGTGTTTACCATACACACCTTCCTCCATCTTCAAAGCCAGCAGCGTAAAATTCCAGTCTCTTCTCTCTCTCTCTGTCTCTCCCCCCCACCTCCCCCTCCCCGCCTTCCATCTTCACAGCACCTTTTTCTTTCTTATAAGGACCCTTATGATTACACTGGGTCCATGTAGCTAATCCAAGATAATTTCCCCCATAAGATTTTTAACTTAATCCCATCAGCAAAGTCCCTTTTACTATGTGAAAATTATGATGTTCACAGGTTCCAGGGATTAGAACAGGGACATTTTGGAGGGGGCATTGTTCAGCCTACCACAGTGACTATCTCTTAGGCTATATCAATGAAGATATTATGCTCAGGAGAAAGAAGGTGATGGAGTCTGCTCCTTTCCATCCTGGAGTCTGTGTTCACTCCAAGGGACTTCATCTTCAAAGAAATGGAGACCACCTATCACAATGCAAACACAGTATTATTTTATTATAATACTAAGTACTGGAAAAAGTGTTAGAACACAAATCTTCCAACAGGTAGTTGGAAGCAGTGTCAATTTTGTTTTGTTGTTGTTGTCTTTTTGGGTTTTTTTCCTTTTTGTGGAGAACAGGGTCTTACTGTATTGCCCAGGCAGGTCAGTGTCAGTTATTTTTAAAATTTTGGTGGGTAACCTAGCAACATAGAGCAAAAGTTTCTTAGATGTTCATTTCTATCGATCTAGAAATTTCACCTCCGTGGATTTGTCCTAAGGAAATAAACATGAACATGTACAAAGATTTACTGACAAGGATATTCATCAAAGTACTTTCAAAGTCATAAGAAGAAAGTAAATTGGGAGGAAAAACTAACTTCCTATTCCTTAAGGTTGAAATAAACTCTGGTACATTTGTTTTAAAATATATCTAAAACCTCAGCCATTCATCACCTGTTGTAGTGGAATATTAAACAACATGAAAAGAGGTTTGGATATCCCAAGAAATGGCCTAGCAGGTTATATGTCAGTGTTCAGTCTGTTTTTTATTTGTAAAATACAATATCAGCTTTAAGTTCCTACCCAAAATAGCACTAAACTAGGACAATGGAAGGATGAGTCACTGACAAAGGAGTAGGAACAGGGAGCTAAAAAGGCCAGCACAGTAGCTCAAAGCTAGTAAGTAGCAAAGGGCCCAGGGCAGACACCACCACAGGCACAGCAGAGGGAGGTGTGAAGGAGGCTGCCCTGGGTGGGACAAACCAGCCCCGGGCAACTCCACAGGCACAGAAAACAACTTGCTTGACCTGTCTCCTCTGTCAGGTCTGTGCCCTGAGCACCTCATTGTGTAAACCCAGCAGAAAGCCAGGGACACAGAAGCCCCTGTGCGAGAGTGGCCCACTGTAGGCTAATCTCTTGGGCAGAGAGAAGAAAGAAGGGGGCACAGCACCAGCACCCCCATGTGTGTGCCACATGCATAAAACTAATGGAAGGAAGAGCCATCAGAAGATCAAAGGAGCTCATGTCTTGGCTGCTTACTCACAGGTGAATTTCCGCTTTCATCTTCTTACCTTTCTGCATAGTCTATGAGGACGTATAGTATGGTAGGAATCACAGATGAAGGCAGTCCAAGTTGAGGTACATTCACAACCTGTTATGGTATGCTCATGGTAGCAAAGCAAAGTAAACCAGTGCTGGCCCCACTGGAAAAGCTGTGGACATTTTTCTGGTGTGTGAGAGAGGAGGTTTAGCTTCTTTCTCTTTCTTTCTTTCTTTTTCTTTCTTTCTTTCTTTATTTCTTCTTCCTTCCTTCCTTTCTTTCTTTCTTCCTTATACTTTAAGTTCTGGGGTACAAGTGCAGATCATACAGGTTACATAGGTATACACGTGCCATGGTAGTGGTTTGCTGCATCCATCACCCTGTCATCTACATTAGGTATTTCTCCTAATGCTATCCCTCCCCCAATGTCCCCACCCCCTGGTATCCCTCCCGTATCCTACCACCCTCCAGGCCCCAGTGTGTGATGTTCCCCTCCCTGTGTCCATGTGTTATCATTGTTCAACACCCACTTATGAGTGAGAACATGTGGTATTTTGGTTTTCTGTTCTTGTGTCAGTTTGCTGAGGATGATGGTTTTCAGTTTGATCCATGTCCCTGCAAAGGACATGAACTGATCTTTCTTTATGGCTGCATAGTATTCCATGGTGTATATGTGCCACATTTTCTTTATCCAGTCTATCATTGATGGGCATTTGGGTTGGTTTCAAGTCTTTGCTATTGTGAACAGTGCTGCAATAATCTGAGTCAATCCTATGGAAGAGGGATTAGATTTGGTCTGCAGTTAGCCCAGGACCAAAAGGCAAAATGGCAGGCAGGCAGATGCCAGTCTGCCTGATTGAAGCTTCCTGGGAATGGCACGTGTTTCCTCCAGCAGTCCTGAGCTGTCTGGTCCTGAGGATCATTTCAGCAGAAGCCAGAAAACTTCCTGGTGGATGTTCTGTAGAGGCGCCTGAAGGATCAGATAGAGCTTTGCACTAGGCAAACTTCAAAGTATCTTCTAGGACAAAAGAGAGTAAATTACTATTTTTAAATATAATGGCAATGGTGACTGTCATAACTTCTTTAATAGTGCTTGCTCTGGTTTTAGGGATGGAGCAAGGTGGGATGGGTATCTAAATGAATTTTTGTTATCTCAGACATTTAGCTACAAGATAATGTCTCTCATGAAAAGTATATTGGTAAAAACACTTGGAGTTTCAAAGAACAGAAAACTCAAACTGGAATAACCAAACAGCAGAGACACCAGGCTTGGCTGGATCCAGGCACTCAAAAGATTCATCAGGGTCCAATTCTTCTCCACGTCTTGGCTCATGCCTTTATCAGGCTCTCTCTCATGGGGAAATGGGGTAAACAGGCTCACATCCCCACTAATCCAAGTCCAGTGGAAAAGACAAAACCTGTCAGCAAGTTGTTCAGCCTCAAGTCCTGAGATAAACTCTATTTGAGCCTGATTTGTTTATGGGTCAGCTATCTGTCCCTGAAATATTAACTCTGGCTGAAAGGACACCATATTCTGGCCACCTCTGGTTCCTAAACAAAGAGGAAATACAAAACTAAAAACAGGCTCATTTGGCCTGTAATCCCAGAATCTGGGGAGGCTGAGGCAGGTGCATTGCTTGATCCAGGAGTTTGAGACCAGCCTGGGCAACATGACTACCAAAAATATAAAAATTATCCAGGCATGGTGGTGGGAGCCTGTGGTCCCAGCTATTCAGGAGGCTAAAACGAAAGGATCTCTTAATCCTGGGAGGTCAAGGCTGCAGTAACCTGTGATCAAGCCACAACACTCCAGCCTGGGAGACAGAGCAAGACCTTATCTCAAAATAATAAATAAAAAATAAATTAGTAAAAGTTTCATTTAAGTCCTGACATTTTTCCCCTCTGTGTGGGAATTTGTTTCAGCTGTTGGTCATGTTCTTCAAATGAAATCACGAGCAGAGGTACTGTACCTAGAGTAACTCAGAGTGGGATTGCTAAGTTGTGGATGTCCCTCGGGAGGAAAGCAGAAACTTCAGGAACACCCTTCTGTGAGCACATCACGGACTCCTCGATTTCCCAACCTGGAGGCCAGCCCTTCCTGCAGTACCATCTATCTGATATCAGTGGGTGCCTCCTCTCCACCAAAAAAGAATTGTAATTCCCTGGCCAATTAAGTTTGAGAAATTTTCAGTTCAATAAAGTCAGAGAATTTTTGACTATAGGATATTTCAGAGCCTTTGGTATTCAAATATGCATTGGGAATCTCCAGAGGAAAACACCACGTGCAGAATTTCTAAACCTGCTTGATCATGAAATCATTCAAAACATCTCTCAGGACTAGTTTTCCCGATAACAAACTCGGGGACAGGCTGCTTTAGGGGAGACAGTTTTTCTGCCCCTGCCGTACCCCTCCCTGCCCATCATCTTCATCGAGATCACAAAGCAATAAAAGGTTACGGAGAAGGGGGGGCTTTGTTCTTCCATCACCTCTCTGGAATGTTTAGAAATGAATGTAATAACACAGAGATAAGATCCACCAAATCCCTGGCTTCTCAAAAGAAATCCTTTCTCCATCCAACCTGTTACATGGTTGCTGGAATCAAATTGCAAAATCCTCCACTAACTCCAGCTCCGGTCAGAGAAGAGCCCACTGGTGAACTACACCAAGAGCACTTTTGGCCGCCACAGGAACTTGCAGTCACCTCTGGCAAACCTCTGCCTGCAGCTGCAGAAGATCACGGCAGGTTCACATCTGTTCCCCAGACACCCCACACTCCACCCCAGCTTCCCTGTCCAACAAAGCACGGCCAGGTTTTCACAGTTAATCCCTCCAGGCCCCCAACTCATCTTCTGCCTGCTTACTCCTATGAATTCTCAGAGATCAAAGCCAAAGCCTTGTTTGCACAACATTCCGCAGAACACCTTAAATTCCCAGCTTGAAAGGAGGCTGAAAGAAGGTCAAACATACTCTATTGTTGAAACCAAAGTGTTCCCAGATGAAGCAGCGTCATCTCTCTGTGCTTCCAGGTCCTGTGGAGCAAGGAACTTCCCCCAGCAAGCCAAATAGAAGCACCTGATGGGAAGTCAACTAGATTTTTCCTTGGAGGTCACTCTGAGTTGACTCAGGCGATACACTGATTCCTAGATGGAAATTGAGAGCTACCGCCACAACCCAATGGGTCAGCCTTGAGATTCAAATGAGGCCTGAAATGTCCATTGCAGATGGCCTGTCTGATCCCTTCAGTCCCCTGTTCTTCCTCCGCATGGCCTTGGTTCACAAAATAATATGGCTTCTTAGAACAGAAAGGCCATCTAGTCTGGAGATTTTCAAACTTCTGGCAGCAGAAAAAAAAAACTGCAAACACAATCTTACCTGGGGCTCTAATTTAAAGCAAATAAATTTGGGGTCCCTGGAGGAGGGTAAGAGTGAGCACAGAAGGATTTCCGCCTTCTCAGCCACCCCCTCCATCATGGCTTTGGGCTCCCACGGCTTGAAAAGTCCTTGATATAGTCCAAAGCCTTCAGATTACACAAACCCTGAAGACCCAGAGAAGGAAAGGGAGCTTCCCAGTCTCACGTGGTACACTCTACAGAGCCCACTGAAATCCAGGTCTCAATTCCTGGGCAAAGCTATCTTCTCCTTCCAAACAACTGAGGACACCACAACCAGGTCTCTCTCTTGTGCTCCAAACCTTAAGTACTCACTGGAGCTCATGTCTTTGCTATTCACTTCAAAACAACCTCCAACATGGTCAGTCCTACTTTCAGAATGTCCCTTTTGTGTTCTCACTATCACTACCTTTCTTACTGCAGGACACCTGGGACCTGGCATCTGTCCCTCCTACCCTCAGGCCCCATGCCCAGGCTCTGCAGTTGCCAGATCTCGTTTCTTAACCTTGGTTCACCATTAGAATCACCTAGGAGCTCATTAAAAATATAAATTCCTGAGCCAGTGCTAGACCTAATAAATCAGCATTTCCAAGTGTGGGTCCAAGAATCTGTGATTTAAATAAGTACCCCTAGATAATCGATGATTGGCCAGGTTTGGGAAGCATGATATTCAATGAGGTTGTGTTCCTTATTCATATCCATCCCCCAGAGCAAATGAATTTTCACACTAAATCACAGCCCTCTTTGCTGGTGTAACTTCTCTGGACACCTGTTTGGAACTATGGAGGGAATGGTCTCTGCAAAACCCTTCCCTTGTGTATTCTGAAGACATAACCATGGACTTGAGCAAAGATGTACCTGTGATGATGCTCATTGCTGCATTAAAAAATGGAAATGTCCACCAATGAGGGAATTGAGTCCATAAATTTTGGTATATATATGCAATCTTATACATTCACTAAAAAATATTTAGAAGATTAGTGATGTGCAAATATGTTCACAATACACAAACATAAACACAACATGTTACAAGAGTCAATGGACAATGGAATTCTATTTTTTTCATATGCATAAAATAACTAGAAGGAGAACCAAGAAAATATTAATGATACCTCTGGAATGGTGATGGGATTAGTGGCATCGTTTATTTTCTTACTTGTGTTTCTTTCAGTCTTCCAAAATTTCTACAGAGATTATGGATTTCAGCATCTATACAAAAACAAAGCTACCTTAAAACTATTTTGGGAGGAGAAAAAAAAAAGCAAGTTATAGGATCAAGATGATAGTTTAAGATATGTTACTGTTTATAATCTTATCCATACCACTTAAAGTGAAAAATACGAGTTTTCTTGTTTTGCTGTTGTTGTTAAGTATAACTTCTTAAAAGCTCTGGACAACAGGAAGGCATAGCAGCCATAGGGTAGATATCATAAGAAATTCCTGGCGTATAGAAAGCTAACCGGAGCACTAGATACTTGAGGAAAATCAACAATGTGAAGAAGAGAATAAAAACAAAATCTCTTAAAGAGACAGATTTTAAATAAAAAAGAGAGAATATTTGAAGAACCTATCCAAGAAGTCTAACTTCCATTCACTGAGAGGAGAAAACAGAGAAAATGGAAAAAAGAAAGAAAAATAAAAGAACTAATAG